ATTAGACAAAATGTATAAACTAAAGCAATTGTCTTTTTTTTTTTTTGCTTTCTGGGTCACACCCAGCAATGCACAAGGGTTACTCCTGGCTCATGCACTCAGGAATTACTCCTGGCGGTACTCGGGGGACCATATGGGGTGCTGGGAATCGAACCCGGGTCAGCTGCGTGCAAGGCAAACACCCTACCCGCTGTGCTATCACTCCAGCCCAAAATCAATAGTTCTAAAAGAACAGGCTAAATTCTTTATACAGCTTTTGTGCAACTGCTAGGGCTGCCCAGGATCAAACTGAATCAGCGCTCTTGCAAGCAAAACATGCACTGGCCATTAAGCTATCTCTTAGACCTTGAAATCTTTAGGTCAAGGAAATTAACACTAATTTCAACGTTAATTTTTTTTTTTTTAAATATTGGGACCAGAGAGATAGTACAGCAAGTAGGGAGCTTGACATGCAAGCAGTGGAACTGGGTTCAATCCCCAAAATCTCAAATCCTGTGGGGTGATTCCTGAGTGCAGAAGCCTATGAGTTACCCCTGAGCATCAACGAGTCACCCAAAAGATAATATTAATATTTTAGGCACATTCTTATTTTCATCAGGAGCTTCTTAGATTTGTTGCAAATTATCATTATTAGTTTACTACTTAAAGTCAGAAAAGACCATGGCCTGAGAGCTTGCTCAACTGACTGAGCACAGGCTTTGCATGTTGGAGGCCTGGGGTTTGATTCCTAACACAAGGTCCCCAGGACTGCAGGGAGAGACCTAAGCAAAGAACTGGTAACAGTCTCTGAGCACCACCAAGTGTCACTCTTTAAAACAAACAAAAAACACAAGCCACTGAGTACAGCTGGTCAGGTGCTTTCCTTGCACAGAGTCAATCTAGGTTAGATCCCTGGCTGGGACCCCATATGGTCACCCAGCACTGCCAATAGTAAGCTCTGAGCCTCACCAATGTGAGATTCAAATTCACTACTTTGAGTGATTAACTCCAGTTATTTATACAAGATCATTCTCTTTCTACTAAAAAAATTACTTATTCCAGAACAAATCCAAAGTTGTTCCTAAAGTCTCCACATGATCTGTCCCCATTCTACTTCCGTTCTACCTCCCATTTTCTCTTCACTCCACTACATTCATTTCACTGGCTGTTACGTAGCCTTTTCCTTCACTGAATATTAAGATACAATTATAACCGTATGCTCAAACATACTAACTTTATTCATCCACCTTACAAAACAATTGTAAAAAATATCAAGCTAAAGAAAAATCAAGCTAACAGTTGGAGAAATAGAACAGGTAAGGCGATTGTCTTGTACATGACTAACCAGGGTTCAATTCCCTGCATCTCATATAGTCCTCCAAGCACTGCCAGGAGTTATCCTTGAGTGCAGAGCCAGGAGAAACCTCTGAGCATCTGCAAGAGTGCCTCCCCAACTAAAATCAAGCTGGTGAAAAACAGCTGTAATTTAAGAGTCATATTTTGTTATTAGCTATACAAGTTTATTTAGAACCATGTTATTTATTTACTAGAGGAAACCAAATTTATTTACCAGAGGAAACACGAGTAAACTCAGACCAACATCCAAGATGATAAGTCTGATTTTCAGTCACGTAACTAGCATAATTATGTGTATAAGACCTTCATTTTATATTTCAACATGGGATATTAAGAGTCACTTGAAATAAAAACATTTAAAATAGGAATTTTACAATAATGCCAAATTTTAAACTATCTTTGGAAATTTTAATAATTTTCTAAATACTTCAGAAAACCTATTCTAAGAGTATGTAGTTAGACATAACAGACACTAACAAAATTTAATGACACTTATGTGTGGGTGCAGGCAAACTTAAGATCGACAGGTCAGGTACATTAAAAAAAATAATAACAACAACTAAGTGGTAGGCAAACATTCAGGGACCTTTTAAAATTACAAGGGCCAGAGTGACACTAAAGCAGGTGGGGTGTTTGCCCTGCAAGCAAACCCGTTTCAATCTCCAGTACTACATATGGTCCCTGGACATATGGGGACCAGCCAAGAGTACTGCTGAGTACTGCTGGGTGTGGCCCCAAAGCAAACAAAAAAAACAACAGCGAAACTATAAATACGTGGCTAATTTTCAAATACAATGATTATTTACCATTTATGATTATCTCAAGTAGGCATAAGGCCTTTAAACTCAAGATGCAGGCTATATCAGCTCACTAAATCAAAATTAGCTCTCTGATGTTGAAATATTAGTCTTATAATAGAGTTAACAGATCTCTCAGTTCAAGAACAATGAATCCCCAAAATAGGAATCCATCTCCCCTCTTGTCAAGGCTTTGACTCCACCTCTGGACTGTAAACACGTGAAGATGGATCAGTTTTCACTTTCCTAATAACTTACATTTCCACATAATCAGAAAAAGCCTTTTTTGGGGGGGGGGGGTCGGGCCACACCCAGTGGTACTCACTCCTGGAGGATATCAGGGGACCATATGGGATGGCAGGTCAGCCACATGCAAGGCAAGCACCCTACCAGCTATATCATCTCTTCAGCCCCCAGGATAAGCTTTTAAAAGGAATTGACAGACACAAAAAGAAGTCAAAATTACAAAAATACTCCAACAAAATCATCACCGCACAAATATACACAGGAAACTTAGTAAGCATGCAGCTAGCTTCTCTCAAACCCAACTCAAATCAATAGGCAGAGAACCCACAGTTCGCTGCTAACACCTTAGTCAGACCTAATTATGTTAAACTTGGGGCAAGAGTGATAAGGTTGTCCCTCTGAGTGAGTCTCTTACAACCCAAATATTTAAAGACAGGCTAGACCAGGGAGGAACCGTATGTTCATTTATCTATTTCAATCAACAGCTGCAGGATCACACAGAGGTGAGTACTATGAAAGACAAAGAACTGAAATGCTTCTAAAATGATTTTCAGATGATCTCAAAATATATAAAATCAACAATACAATAAAGGAGAAAACACTGTTGACAGTTAAGTCATAATTATACTGGGTTCTGCAGTTTGGGAATATGTAGAAAGTACTTGCAGAGAAGGTAATTCTGGCCTGCACTCAATTACACACATCTTTAGAAAATTGACTTAAATCTCTGGGACTCAGTTTTCTCATCTGAAGCTAGGATTGGACCACAAATCCTAAAGATTCCTTTCAAGTCTAAAACTCTGTATACATAAAAAAGTTGCTGGGATTCCATCCTCTTTTTCCCTCCAATACCGGTCTTTGTGAGACTAGAGAATATAATTCTAAAACTAAACTTTGAAAGCAAATTCCATCTTAGCAGGGTTTTTTTTTAATCTCCAAGAGACACCAATGCTCTATAAAGTAGATGAAACTACTATTGAACAGATGTTATCTTTCACAATTAAGAACTAGTCTTGTAGTATGTCACTTATGCCAAAAGCTCAAAATATCTACACCATGTTAGTCAAGTGTTCTAGGTGACAATCGTGTCCATGGTACGTTTACACAGACGGTTACACAGTTGTGCATGTGACTCCAAGTGGTAGCAAAATTCTCACTACATATGTATTTTAAAGCACTTTAAAAAAATAATTTCTTCTATCAGATTTCAGAAGGACTATGCACTATCCACTATGCACCTGCCAGAAACATTACTTAAAAAGAACTCTTAGCCACAAGGGAAAAAAAGCAAGTTACCAAGATACATAAAAGTTTTAAGTTAGAATCATTAAAAAAAAAAAATCACAAGTAGGACCAACTCTAATGAAAGGATTGTCACTTGCCCACCACAAACTACCAAACGTGATTTTCTGGCCAAATCAACTTCAGTACAAATAGAGCTAATTAACGAAGATGACTTTGCAACTGGATCCTACAGGCAAACGAGTATAGATGTTCAGGTGACTAAGATAAAAACTTCACTAGGCAAAACTGCCAACACTTTCTGATGCGACATCGTTTAAATCTTCCTTTTTTCAAAATGTCCCTCGAAACGAAAACTCTTATTTTCAATACCGAGGGCCTCCTAACCACTAGGATTTCACCAACACCCTTTACCTACACAACCTCGAAGAACACGGCATAAAAAGACGAATATCTACCTTCACCTAGTACCCAACTGAACTTCATCCAGTACCCAAAATATGTATAAAAAAAGGGGGGGGCTCGCGTTTCCTAGGAAGTAGTAAGGGGCAAAAATGGAGTTTGTGCCGACTTTCTTTCCCGTTCCAACTCCGTGGGCCACGCGCGCTTCGCGGCGGGGCCCCGAGCGCAGCCCCCGCCCAGCCCGACGGCCGGGAGAGGAAGCGCCGGGGACCGCGGGCGGGCGGCTCGGGCTCCAGCAGGCCCGGCGGGGCGGGGGAAGGGGCGCGGGAGGCCGCGGGGCGCGCTTCCGGGGACTGCGCGGGCGGGGCCGCCCCTCCGGCGCGCGGGACTCGGGCCGGCAGTCAGGGTCAGGCGCCGGGGAGCGGGGCAGTCGGGCGACTGGCCGGTCAGGAGCAGCAGGTGGGGCGCGGCCACGGTGGGGCCGCGGCCGGGCGGCCGGAAGAGTGCCGGGCGGGCGGGCCCGGGGCGCCGCGGCGGCTGGAGGGAACCCTCTTAACTCACCGCAGGCGACGACTGTGAGCCCGACTTGCCCGCGCCGAGGACGCTCGTCCACCAAGTCTCGCGCTCGGGGACTACAGGACGGCTAGCTGGGGTCGGCGGCGGCGGACTAGACGAAGAGAAGCGACCGAGGACGGCGGCGGGCGGGGAGCGCGAGCGAGGGCGGGCGGCAGCGGCGGGAGGGCGGGGAGAGACGTGCGCGCCCCCGCGTGCCCGGCGGGCTCGAGCAGTCACCAGCCGCGGCCCCGCGCACGCGCGCACACTCACAGCCCGGCCGCGATTGCTCCGGAGTGCGTCCCCGCCCCGAAAGCCGAGCGCTTAGCCAATCACTACAAGCGCGCAGGGCATCACGGGAACTCCGGGGCTATAAAAGACCTGGTTGCTATTTTGTACTCCTCGAGTCACTCATCCTTTAAGTCAGCAGGGTGGGGCTAGAGCGCGTGCGCGGTTTTGATACTCCGCCCCAAACTGCCAACTCTTCGCGCAAGCGAGGTAGGCTGGGCCAGGCCGGGTATACGCGTGCGCACTAACGAGCTTAGCCCCGGAAGCTCAGACGTCTGCGCAGTGGAGACTACGGTGACAGTCCCCCGGGTGGGGCGCGGGACAGTTATGGCGGAGCCTTGGTCTGGCCAGTACTTGCAAGCACTGCCGGCCACAGTGCTGGGCGCGCTGGGCTCTCTGGGCAGCGAGTTCCTGCGGGAGTGGGAGGCGCAGGACATGCGTGTGACCCTCTTCAAGCTGCTGCTGCTGTGGTTGGTGTTAAGTCTCCTGGGCATCCAGCTGGCGTGGGGGTTCTACGGGAGCACGGTGACAGGGCTGTATCACCGCCCAGGTGAGGCTCCCCAATGACCTCGGTGACCGGCCGCCCCCACCCCCTCCAGACTGCAACACTAGTCTCCCCAGAAGAGCCCCCCCCCCCAGACTACCACTGCTCCCCTAAGGGCTTCATCCTGAATCCTAATCTGTGCCAGCATACTTATGCTAACCTCTTATGCCAGAAATCCCATCGGCCCACCCACCACGAAATTGTTCCCTTAACCCCTCACCCAACTATGTCCCTTTGGTCCCCCAAGACTCCACCAGGCAGTACCACTAGCCTTTAACCTGACTTGGGCTGGTGCCTGCTAAGATCCCACCCTCAGCCTGCTGCAGCTCTGGATGTGTTCCTGCCCCCCAGGTCTGGGCGGCCAGAACGGATCCACACCTGATGGCTCCACGCATTTCCCTTCATGGTGAGTAAATCTGTTTCCATCTCACCCCATGCTTGGCAAGCTGTGGACACTCTGGGGCAGGGACAGAGACCAGCCAGTCTCCGGATCTTCAAGTAGAGCCAGCCTTCCCAGTGACACTGATGTCTATTCAGCAACCACGGGGTGGGTGGCATTATTGTCAATTCTAGAGATGAAGTGGTGAGCTTGTTGGATTCCACACCCCTCCATTAGAAAGACAAGAGTCTCTGTCTTTAATGCACTGACTGGCATTATCAGTATCAGCCTTCTCAACTGAAAACATGAACTCAGTAATTGGGGCATTCATTTAGCTATTCTCTGAGCTCCTACAGATTATCAGGCACCGCCCTAGGTCCAGAGAACAAGGACAACACAAGTCCTTACAGCAAGAACCACAGATTTTCCAGAGGAAGGTAGCAATGCAGGGGTAAGAGTGTCAGGTACATAAGGTACCAGGCAGAGAATATTCATTCTCTGACAGCTTCAGAAGCAAGAACAAGGGAAATTGGAAGGGTGGGCAAGGCTGTGAGGTAGAATGCAAACAGGAAGGTATGATGGGATCTATAAAGTCCTCTTCCAAACCTCAGGGAGCTGTGGAAGGAGCAAGAGCACAGTCTGATTTTAATTTTCTTTTGTAATTACAACCGCATGATTCAAGGCAAGTAGATAAAAAAGGTCTTAGAGAGGGCTGGAGCAATAGTACAGTGGGTAGGGTGCTTGCCTTGCACAGGGCCAATCTGGGTTCAATCCCTGGCATTCCATATGGTCCTCCAAGCACCACCAGGAGTAACCCCTGTTCATGGCAAGTTTGGCCCAAAAGCCAAAAAAAAAAAAAAAAAAAGTCCTAGAAAAAAGGCAGGAGAGGCCTAGTAAGGCCTACCACTGCCAGATTTCTAAGGCAACTGGGAAAGGATGGAAGCATCGCACAGGGTGGGGAGTCGGGAGGAAGAACAAATTGGCAGGAAAAGGAGATGACCCAATGTGAGAGGGAAAGTGCAGTGGACAGGTCACAATTGAGTTTGTTCCTCCAAAAGCCTTCCAGAACCCAGCCCCCCCTCCTAGGAAGAACTAAAGAGAATCACAATTAGGGACTGTTGTGCCTGCAATGGATTAATCCTTGTTTCTCCTCTTCTCCATCACTTTTAGGGAAACAGCAGCAAATGAGCCTCTCAAAACTCACAGAGAATAAAGAGAAGCAGCAGAAGGGCCTCCAGGAATATCGCTGGGCCTGTTGCCTCCCACATTGGATTCTGCTGCTGCCCAGACCCCAGGGACAATGGCATGGGTGGGGGAGTTAGGCCAGGGAGCAGAGTACCCCAGAGTTGGGCCTCTACTGCTCTTGGCTTTGCTTCCAGCAGTCCCAGACACTGGGCTAGTTGTCTGCCTCTACCCTCATGAGGGTGCCTTAAGGAGAAAAGGCATGTTCCTCCTCTCTCTGGGATCAGCTCAGAAGACCCCGCATCGGGGATACCAACATTCCATTTTGCTATCTTGCCTTTTTCCTGTTCCTTACTCCCATCTCCCTGGGACATGACCCCATACAAATTTATCCTTCAGAGAGGAAGCTTTGATGTTAATCAGCATTGAGATTTGGCGGGGAGGTCTTCATTTCTCCCAGGCCCTAGGTTTTCTGAATTTCTTTGGTTTTGCTTTATAGGCAGAGATTCGGGGTGTCCTGGTCTGGACATAGCCTTATACTCCATGATCACGAGGCTGGTTATTCGAGAATAAGGCAGCAGGCACTAGCCAAACCTGGCAACAGCAAATACTTAACTCTCTGGCTTGCTAGGTGTAAATCAGGCTATGGAAATTGTCTTTTCCCCAAGTATCACACATTCATTCTTAATCATTGAAGGAAAAGTAGGTTCCTGAAAGAAGCCAAGTCCCCCCCACTGCTTAAGTGCCCGTGGGGTTATGTTTTGAGGGGTCACCCCAGCGGTGCTCAGGAAGCCATGTAGTACTGGAAATTGAGGCCAGAGCCCTGTGCACGCCTGGCAGGTGTTCCAGCCCCTTGAGCTATCTCACCAGGTGGACCCATGGGGGTTCTGAATCTGTTCCCTGGCCCTCACAGGGTGATACTAAGTTAGAATGCAGAGAAACCTCACATGACCTGTCCAATCACTTCCTATCTTGACCCAGATTTGATAGACTCATCCTAAGAACGAAGTTGAACTCTTCCCCCAGTGGCACCATCTCAGCCCCAGGAATTGTTCATTAAGAGAAAGGACAAGACAGACTACTACTTCAACAATGGGCTCAGGGAGCTTCCAAAGGTGTGGGTGTCAAACCTCAGTTCCTGAGAGCAGTATGGACCCGGACCTGCCTCATTCCCAGTGCTGGGACTTCTGCCTGCTTCAGTTGAGCCACCTACCACCTTAGTGTTCTGCTTCCTGGCAGCTGTCACATTTCCACCTGCCAGCCTTTGCAACAAAGGTGTACTGGAAGCAGGACAGATAATGAGATGTGTATATGCACCTCCTCTAAAGCTGTCTTCCAGTTGGCAGGATGATGGTTTCATAGCCTGGGGTCTACCCACTGACACCCTCACATAGAATTAGGGGTACCACATCTCACCCCATGATCAACTGAACATGTGGCTTATTAAACATGAAAGCGCATCAGTTGTGTGATTCTTTGGGCTGCATGCACAGGGGACTGGAGAGGGAACACCCAGGGACTGTTGCACCTCGGTACCTAGGAGGAAATGTCTTAGGTAAGACCAGGTGCCCAAAAGGGGCAATCTCCTTGTTTGTTCTTAAAGACCTGGTCCTTACCACGGAACACCCAAGCAGCTACCTCATAGGCCAGGTAGACAGAGAGTGGGCTGGCACCCCAGGATCCCTATAGATAAAGGACAATGAAGCTAGAGTCTGGCCATCAAGTATAAAGGAAATATGTTTAATGATTTTGAAGAGTCGATTGAAGTGAATAATGGGCCTCCAGGGGTGAAGTTCAGCTCAGGGTAAGAAAAGTCCAAGAAACCGAGCCTGTCCCACAATAATCCTGGGGCCCCTGGGAATGTACACATACAGAGTGAATCTGTGTCACTTCTGACCCCAGCCATCTCCGAATTTACACACAGGCACTGCATCCCAACTCGGCAAACCCTCTGGGAGTTAGGAATCCAACATGACCAGGGAGAGGCAGCATTCTGTAGTCATGGAACATGAACTAGAGGAGGTGGTCGGTATATTGGAATGACCCTCTACAGGGTGAAAAACTATGGTGAGGCAGGTGGGGTCCCCATAAGTGAGCCCTCACAGCCAGCAGCTAGCAGTGAAGAGAGAGAAACATAGACGGATGCAGTCCAGCACCCCAGCAGGCAAGAGTGAAGTTGATGGGCTCATAGGCTCAAACAGGGTATTGGCAGGCTGGAGATATTAACAGTACAAGGATTAAAATGCTTGCCTTGCATCTACCAACCCTGGTTCAAATCCCTGGCACCTCATTATGATCCCCTGAGCACAGCCAGGAATAGACCCTGAGCACTGCCGGGTGTATCCCCAAAACCAAAATAATAATATTAATAAACTAAAAATAGGATATTTGGGTAAGCTGATTCATTAGTTAGAAAAGGGCTCAATGGCCCAGAGAGAGTACAGCAAGGAGGGCGCTTAGATTACACACGGCCGACCCAGGTCCAATCCCTGGCATCCCATATGGTCCCCTGAGCACCACCAGGAGTGATTACTGAGTGCAGAGTCAGGTCTAAGTCCTGAGCATTGTCGGGTGTGGACCCCCCCCAAAAAAAGAAAAAACAAAAAAGAAAAAATGGCTGGGGATGGGGACAGAGAGGTAGTATAGTGGGTAAGGTGCTGGCTCACCTTTCACAGCTGACCTGTGATCTATCCCTGGCGCCCCATAGAGCACCCCAAGCTCCTCCAGGAATAATCCCTGAGTGCAGAGCTAGGAGTAAGCCCTGAGCACTGTTGGGTGCCCAAAAACAAACCAGAGAAAAGGGTTCTTAGGGCTAACGAGATAGCACAGAGGGTAGGACACTTTTCATGTGGTCAAGCTGGGTTCAATCCCCAGCATCTCATATGGTTCCTGAGCACTGCAAGGAGTAATTCCTGAGTGCAGAGTCTGAAGTAACCCCTAAGCATCGCTGGGTGTGGCCCCCAAAAAAATCACGAACAAAAAAAAAAAAAGGGCTCTTGAAATTAAGAGTGCATTGGGGGGGGGGGAGGGGAAGAGGGTCAGCCAGAGAGAGTGGCACTAACAACCAGACAACCAGAACAAATGTCCACTCTATCCTGATGTCAGTTCCTAATTAATCCCCAGAACACGCCCTCAAGGCAAGGTTCCTAGAGCAGAGGGCCATGATATTACTCTCCTCACTTGAGGATATAGTAGTTTGTGGGCACAAAGGGCATTTTGCTGACCACAGCCATCTGCTGCTTCCGCCGCACCTCTACCAGCAGCTGGGTGCCTGGCCGACTATACTCAGCGGACACATACCCCATCGCCACATTCTTCTTCAGGCAGGGCGACGGACAGCCACTGGTCACAGCACCTGTCCAGGAACAAGCCATATGTGTACATGAGTCAATACCAACCACCCTGCCAGCCCGGGACCCCCGCACAACTGGGGAAGGGACAGGGCTCTCAGTTTTTCAGGTCTACCTACCAATCACGGTACCGTCCGTGCTCAGGATGGGGCTGTGTGCCCGCATAGGTGCCCCCTCACAGGTTAACCCCACACGCCTCCGCTGCACTTTGCCCTTCAGCTGGGGAACGATGACTGTGGCTCCAGGGAAATCCATGGCAGCTCGGCGGCGTTTCCCTGAAACAAGAATCTCTGCTCAGCTCCTCCACCATGCATTTGCCCCGATCGTTCAGTCAGCCACCCAACTCCTGTCCCTGCTCTTGAAGACAATGCTCCCCTCCCAGACTAGTAGGGGTTAAGGGTTCCTCCAGGTGGGCGAAGTCACAACGACACACACCCTCAGACACTCAGGGAGGCTCCCCTTGGCTATGAACTTCAATCTTGCAAGCAGTAAGCACTGGCTCGCCTCCCACTGTCCCCTTCAACCTCCAGGAGCCCATCCCGCAGTGCTAGCAGAGCTCACCCAGTGTCCAACTGAGGCTGCCTTCCACCGGTGTGGTGTGCTCATCAATGTCGCTCCCATATAGGCAGAGACCGGCCTCCACACGCAGGCTGTCCCGGGCCGCCAGTCCTGCCAACTTCACCTCCGGGTTCTCCAGCAGAGTCGTTGCTAGGTGGACGGCCTTGGCTGCCGGCACAGAGATCTGCATGGGACACCAGGGAGCAGGTGGGCAGCTGGCCAAACAGTCCTGTGCCCTGTACCCCCTGCCCAGGCACCCACTTCACATACCTCCACACCATCTTCTCCTGTGTAGCCACAACGGGTCACACGGCAGCCGGAAATGCCAAACACCTCCATCACAGCACTGGTCATGAAGGGTAGTTTCTTCAAATCATCTGCCAAGCCAGCCTGGAGTACCTGGGCCGCAGTGGGGCCTGAACCCAGGGAGCCAGTGACCCAGGGTCCAGGTACCACCTGTGCTCCTCACAGCAGGAACACAACCCTTACTTGGGGACCAGAGCAAATTTGACTCTGCAGGTGGTACACTCTTTCTGAAATGTCTTGGGCCTTGCAGCAGGTGTAGGAAGGGCACGACACCCAACTTGAGAATCCTGGCACCTAACTATGGCACCAGCTGCACCTTTCTCCTGGCAAGGCCTCTGTGCAAAGCAATCAGGACTTCAGGAAGGCCAGGGCCTTTCCCCCCCCATCCCCCTCATCCCCCTCAGGTTAGCCCACTCACCTTGCAGGGCCAGCAGGGCATTATCCACCACCTCCAGGCCCACATCACCACCCTTGTTCTGAAGCTCCCTGAGCTTGTCCTGAGAGGAAAGACACATAATAGCACATCAGCTGCTGGGACCACTTAGCTCAGACCCTGCACCGTGTGCTGGGTCTGTCTGAAAGGGCATATCAGTACCAAGTGGATGGGCAGACCCATACACAGGTGGCACAGCAGGTGCCATGCCTCATCCCTTGGCAGTGGAGGCTTACTTAGGGGCCAGTCAGCTCTTGCTGCCCTGCTCCGTCACTGAAGCCTCTTGTTCCTGGCACAGTCAGCTCAGACTGTAGGATAACATTGGTTTGTGCAGGGCTCGAGCGATAGCACAGCAGGTAGGGAATTTGCCTTGCACACAGCAGACCCGAGGTCCGATTCCCAGCATCCCATATGGTCCCCTACCAGGAGTAATTCCTGAGTGCAGAGCCAGGAGTAACTAACCCCTGAGCATAGCTGGGTGTGACCAAAAAGAAAAAAAAAAAAGATATAGGTTTGAGCTATCTCCTCTGCCACAAGGAGCTTAGGTTTATTGAGTAATACCCATCACAATGCTCCTAAAACACTCCCATTTCCTTGGTATTCATCTTTAACTTCTCTGTGCTCTGCTTTCTCTACCAGTTAATCACTCATTTCCCTAGGCATTACCTTGTAAAGCCAAATTCCTCAGAAATCTCTGGTTTTTTATTTGTAAGTGAAACACTGCTTTTCTCCTTATGTTCTTTGCATAGTTTACTTCAAAGCAATGTCCTCTTTGTATAGACACAGGAAGACAATGAATGATATCCTTTTACAACTTGGGAGTTAATTGACTTCAAATATTTACTCCTGAGCATCTGCTTTCTTAAGCCTCAGTTGCCCTTAGCTGCTAGCACCCCAAAAGCAAGGTCCGGATGAGGGACTGGATGTACCCTGAGCAAGCTGTGAGCTACCCTGGCATCGAAAATGGCCAGGCCAAGTGCCATAATACTTAACTATAAGTTAAGAGTACAGTCATGAACAAATTCTGTCATGAGCCAAAGAGTAACAACTGGATTACGGCACTGCTAGGGTTAGGAAAGACTTATCTGGCCTAAGTACTGTAGTCTGGGATCTGTAGCGAGATGTCCCCAGGAGAACCACCCACAAGCTTAATGTATCTCTTGCTGTGTCCATAGAAAATAACTAATATTAAGTAGAATTAAGGGGCTGGAGCAATAGCACAGCAGGTAGGGCATTTGCCTTGCATGTAGCTGACCCAGGTTCAATTCCCAACATCCCGTATGGTCCCCTGAGCACTGCCAGGAGTAATTCCTGAGTGGAAAGTCAGGAGTAACTCCTGTGCATTATCAGGTGTGACCAAAAAAGCAAATTAAAAAAAAAAGTAGAATTAAGATGAATGTTTAAATGGTTGTTGGACTAAGGAAAGGAGAAACACACTCCTAGAGGGTATTTGACCCTTAAGCAGATCTCCTGACAGCAGGAGATCTTTAGAAGAGCTTCCCCCTAGGGAAGGACCTTTCCGTAGGTTGATCACCGGTGTGGTTGCTATCCCCAAGGCTTGGAGGTTGGGGCTAGATGAGGCTGCAAGACAGAGCCTGAAGGGACTAACATGGGGGACAGGAGGAGCCAAGAATGAGGGGCAGTGTGAGACTGGAATGGGGAGCTGAGTCAGACTGGAACAGACACGTGGGGAAAATGAAATAAACGGCAACTGATCACCAACCAGCCTGTGGCCCTGTTTCCTCCTTCCTGCATCTGTTGGCTGGAGCGATAGCACAGCGGTAGGGCGTCTGCTTTGCACACGGCCAGCCTGGCTGACCTGGGTTCCTCCAACCCAGGTTCAATTCCTCCGCCCCTCTCACAGAGCCTGGCAAGCTACCCAAAGTATCTCGCCCGCATGGCAAAGCCTGGCAAGCTCCCCATGATGTATTCGATATGCCAAAAACAGTAACAACAAGTCTCACAATGGAGACGTTTCTGGGCCCACTCGACCAAATCGATAAACAATGGGAGGACAGTGTTACAGAGCATCTGTAACACTGTACAGAGCATTTGGCGGCTGCAGGTAGGTAAGCGGCATATAGCTACGGAATGCTCGTGGCAGGTGAGAGAGAATGCCACTGCAGCCAATCACTTCATTATATTTTGTATTACACATTGAACCATTGGTCCCACAGTCACTCAAGCTTCTCTGTGCACAGAGGAGATGGGGTATGGTGCAGAGAGGGGCTGTACCTGCATCAGGGCCAAGTCCTTGTCCCAGCAGCCAGCGTTGGACACCACATACAAGTACCCCTCAGAGGTGTTGGTCACAATAAGGTCATCTAAGATACCTCCAGCCTCATTGGTAAATAGCGACAGTGTCCCCTGGCACAAAAAAACAAACAAACATCTTTAATTCTGGGTCTGGGTGAGCCAGAATATTCATGGTCCAAGACATCACAAGAAATTCATGAGCCCTCTTGACAGGATAGGAGGTGTACAAGGTGCTAGGCTGAGAGTTCAGGTCCCGCCCCAGTCCAGGGTCTTTGATTGTACTGATGTAGTGAGAAGGTCAGCTTCGAGGGGTTTCCTTGATCTCTTGGGGTCTCTGTACCTCTCCTTACTTGAGATCCCCAAACTCAGCCAATGTCCAATCCCCAAGACAGAACCTTCAAAATCCTTCTTTTTCTCTTCTTCTTCTTTTGAGCCATACCTGGCTGTGCTCAAGGCTTAATCCTAGCTCTGTGCTCAGGAATCACTCCTGACAGGCTAAGGGGACCATATGGTATGCCAGAGATGAAACACAGGTCAGCCACATGCAAGGCAAGTAACCTGCCTGCTGTACTAACTCTTCAGTCCCTCAAAATCCGCCGTGAAGACCTAAAGTGCCTTATAACGGTGCTTCCCAAACTGAATGCTCACCCCATCTTCCCATCAGATGGACAAAGAGTATGAGATTAAGAGGTCACATGAATCACCTGAAAATTTTATTGAAATTCAGGCCTTGGAGTCAGAGATAGAACTTAACTGAATCAATAAAGTAAACAAATGGCCCAGGTTTGATCCCTGGCACTGCATGGTCCTCACAAGCGTCTATCAAGAGTGACCCTCAAGCACTTAGCAGGGAGTAGCTCCTGAGCATCGCTAAGTGCGGCCCCAAACCCCCATCCACCCTTCCCCTCCACACACATAAACACACAAATTCAGGTTCTAGGGGGTTGGAGCAATAGGACAGTGGGTAGGGTGCTTTTCTTGCACATGTCTAACCCAGTTTTGATCCCCGGCATCACATGTCCTCCCCCAAAGCCTGCCAGAAGTGATCTTAGAGCACAGAACCGGACAAAAAATCAGGTTTGCGGATGGAGAGATTTTTCCAAGTACTGAGCATGTGCTTTGCATATGGGAGGCCAGTTCAATCCCCAGGACCTTCTGGCTCACCACTGGGTATAACTCCCAAACAAGATGTTTTCACATTTTTTTGTTTTTGTTTCTGTGGCGTTCAGAAATTACTGCTGTCTCTACAATCAGGGATCACTTTTGGCAGGGACAAGACTTGTGGTAAGGGGGATATTAGCAGGGTCAGCCGCATGCAAGGCAAACACCTTACCCACTGTACACTCTCTCAGCCCCCAACACTGTTCTTTAAAATACAATAAACTGTAACTCAGTATGTGATTTAGCATATCTGGAGCAGAACTAAGACTATATTCCTTACATGACACTAAGAGACTGGTTTGGGGACTCTGCAAAGAATTAGGCAGCAAGGAAGGCCTTAGCAGGCATCATGGAAGGTCTCAAAACATGGCCTGAACCTCGGTTTCTGACTTATTAGCTTGCTGTGTTAAGGATAGGCCCCTCCCCTTATAGACAAGTGGGTGTCTGTCTAGCCATGATTCAGGGCCTGTCACCCAAAACTGCAAGCCCTGTGCAGTGTCTGGTCCATCTCTGTGCCTCCAACGCAAAGTAGGGTCTCAGCTTTTTAGCTGATTAATAATCAAGAACACCACTGGGCAGAAATAAGAGAAAAAAGGGACCTACCTGGTTTGGCCTTAGCTCTGCAATATCTCCAACCACCAAACTCTCCATCAGCTTCACTCGATCACCACCCAAAATCTTGGTCTGCGAAAGATCAGAAGGCTCGGGCTACTCCAACAGCTACAATAGTGGGCAAAAAGGCACCACCGCTGCAGTCCCCACTCAGTCCAGCCCAGAAGAGCCTGGCGATTCTTTGGGTCTCCAGGTAGCAGAGGCCCAACCTTACCCCCTTCCAAATTCGCCAAGTCGGGAAGAGACAGAATTGGTGGTGGGGGGGGGGGGGCGGCTAGGGACAACAGAAGGGCCCGGAACCTTCCTGAAATACCCCTCTCTACAAGCCGATACCCAGCGGCAGAGGGCTGTGGTCAGGGCATGTCAAGAAGTGGGAGCAGCTGGAGATGAGGAGGCTCGAGCCCTCCGGCGAGCAGCTGAGTTTACTTCCGCGGGGGGAAGGGTTGGTCTAGCCAACTGCTGGCTGAGACGGCCAGGTGTTTGGGAGGCCGGGCTCACCTGCAGCATGTGGGACACATCGAAGAGCGAGCAGTGCCGGCGGGTGTGAAGGTGTGAGTCGACGTGGCTGTCCCGGTACTGCACCGGCAGACTCCAGCCGGCGAAGGCCACCATCTTCCCTCCGTGGGCCAGGTGGAAGTCATACAGGGGGGTCCGGCGGAGCACCTCCTGCGGGCGGCTGAACTCAGCGCCACCACCTCCCCCTCCAGGCCTCTCCCCCACCCCGGCCCCCCAAGATTGGTACCAGGCCCCATCAGCCTCTAGCCCACCTGGGAGCCACTGTACAGACGGCTCACGGTCGAGGGTAGCGCCTGCAGACGGGAGCCCAGACGGGCCACCCGGCTCACAGCCTGCTGCATTGTTGCCTGCACCCGGAGCCGCCGGCACACGAGGCCACCACTCTGCCAGGCACGCTGGGAGATGTAGTCCAGAACCGGCTCTCTCAGGCCAGGGAGAGGAGGGGGATCAGACGAGGGGGCGGGCAACCCCGAGGGCGGGCAGGCGGGGCTTAAGAGCACAGAGTGCTGGGACTTGGGTCAGCAGCAGGGGGGAAGGAAACAGCCCCGGGCACTCCATCTGATCTGGGCAGTGAGCAGCAGGCGTGACCTGCTGAGAAGCCAAGCTGGGGGCTAGACCTCCCCAGGCTAACTGCCCAGTGGTCAAAGGATCAAAGTTCCCCCTCAGGGCCAGAATTGCCCTTTCAGGGCTTGAGGAGAGGGAGGATGGAAGAGGAAGAGTGGAAGTGTTGTGGAGGGTGAGGGTGGTGTGAGCCTGCTGGCAATTCACGCCAGAACCTGGACTCAGGGAGGGTCTCTAGCCCGGCACTGGGCAGACACAGGCAGCCAGCACCGTCATGCATTCCACAAGTTATTTATTGATCTTGCCACACACAGGAGGCCCTGTGCAGGGGGCTGGGGACACAACGTGAGTGAAACACAGTCCCAGTCACCCCAGAGGACCCCCCCCCCTTACCCACACATACTCCTGGGGACCCTGCAGGCGGAGATGCCACTTGTAAGAGCTCCGGGGTGAGAGGAGAGGTGAATGACCTTCAAAAAGGTGAATGACCTTCCTCTGGAAAGCTGGGGAGCCACAAAAACATCCTATTGTCCAGCTCCCACACAGTTCCAGTACTACTTGCCCCGTGCTGGTTCCTCGGATCAGAGTCAGGAATAAACAGAGAAGCAGGACTTGCTTCTCTTACCCAGCAGCTAGCCTCCGGTGGGAGAGGACCTAAGTTTCTTAAAAAGCCTCATGCAAAGCCTTACCTAGACACACCCACCACCAGGGTTGAACCATCACTCTGAGCATGACTCTTGGAAGAGGGCAGTGGGAGAAGGGCCTAGGTGTCAGATGTGTCAGATGGCAGACAGGTCCTAGGCCTCAATCTCAGACCCCAAGCTTGTGGTGCAACGGACTGGTCCACCTGGGCACACACCCAGGCTCAGGGACTAAGAGAATCAGGCTACCTGAGTTCCTAGCTGTACTCCCAAGCAAAGCGGCAGAAGACTACAGCCAGGAGATGTCTTTTGAGGGATGCAACACAAAGGGGAAAAGGAGACCACTAGGAGGAATAGAAGGGAGAAATGGGGCTCCTCTGTTTCTCAAGCTTCCAAACTGTAAGCGTACCATGGCTACAACAATAACCGAAAACTACGGAGAACAGGTTCAGTAGGTGAGCCGAGCCCAGCGCACTTCGGGAGAAGCAGCAGGCAGAGGACATGAGTGTGCGCGTTAGCGGGATGTGCAGAGGGCACTTGAAGAATCTTAGCAAATAGAACCGGAATGTTTTTAGGGTAGGAGGAGTTGAAGTTGAACTGCAATCAGGTGAGGACAGGATGCATCCCACCCCCAAACCACACCCCACCCCACCCCAGGAGCTCATGATGAGGAACAACGGCGAATCCCCCAAAATCCTGATTCTGTGAACATGGCCCAGATAGAACTGGATTTAGGCAATATTCCAAAAACACAGGAAAGTACTTCAACCCCTGGTGGTCTCAACCAGGCCTGGAGGGGCTCAAAAGGCCAAAGTCTTGGCAATGTCGTTCAAGTGTAGGAGAGTAAATTCAGGTCATAGCAGCCATCCACCTGCAACACAAAAGAGCATTAGATCTGACTCGCTCTGGACCACGCAAGCCACGCAGAGGGTGACGATCACTCACATCAAAGCGGCCGATCCTTGCAGAAGTGTGACTGGCCCGGATCATCTCTGTCAGTGCCCACATCTGCTGCACCTCGGAGGAGATCCTGCTGGGGTCTGGGAGACCCTGCTCCAGAAGGAGGGATCAGTGGCTATGGGTCTCACCCCACCAGTGCTCTCTGAGCTCAAGAGGTTCATTATGCTATGGGGCACTCCAACTGAAACCAGTGACATTCCCAGACCTGTGGAGTTGAGTGGGCGCCTAATTTGTAGTAGATGGCCACACCCCACATAGACATGCCTCAAATCCCAAGAAGTTCCCAGAAGGAAGATGGCAAAGAAGGAACCACAGCTCCAGGGTCCAGCCTCAGATTCTTGCAGAAAAAATGAACCCGGGGCTGAACTATTTATAAGTGGTTCTTACCCAGGGCGAGGGCTTACCTCAAGGAGGGGAGTGGGCTGCTCAAAAGGTACTGGGTGGGAGAGCCACTTGGGGAAGTTCACTGAAGGCGTCTGCAAATCAAAAGCAGAGTACCGTGAGGGAGGTGAAATGAAAGAACATTGGGGACCGTATTCCAACGTCCTGGAAGTAGAAAAGGGACTTGAGCCTCAGACAACAGAACCTTACTCAAGGGTTCAAAGAGGCTCAAAAGGCAGTCATGCTGCCTGACCTCTCTACCCACGAACAAGAGGAAGATGAAGCCAGAGAGATAGTGCAGCTGCTAAGGCACTAGCCTTAAATGTGGACAACCAGGTTTAACCCCCAGCAACCCCAAGCACTGCCACAAGTGATCCCTGAGTGCTGAGTCAGGAGTGGTCCCAAAACAAACAAAAAAATGAAAAATGTGATAGCACAGTGGTTGGGTGTTTGCCTTGCATGAGGCCAACTGGTCGACCCAGGTTCGATTCCTCCACCCCCTCAGAGAGCCCGGCAAGCTACCAAAAGTATCTCGCCCACACAGCAAAGCCTGGCAAGCTACCCAAGATGTATTCGATATGCCAAACCCAGTAACAATAAGTCTCACAATGGTGACGTTACTGGGCCCGCTCAAGCACATCGATGAACAACGGGAGGACAGTGACAGTGACAGTGTTGCCAGAGGGATAGTACAGCAGTTACTGCACTTGCCTTGCACATGGCTGTGGCCGACCGGGTTTCAATTCTCAGAATCCCATACTGTTCCACGAGAACCACATGAGTAATTCCTGATGTAGAGCCAGGAGTAACCCCTGAGCACTGCTGGGTATGGCCCAAACCCCACCCGCCAAAAAAGAAATATGTGCTTTGGAGCTGGAGCGATAGTACAGCCGGTAGGGCACTTGCTTTGCATGCAGCTGACCTAGGTTCCATCCTCAACATCCCATAAGGGCCCCAAGCATGCCAGGAACCATTTCTAAGTGCAGAGCCAGGAGTAACCTCTGAACACTGCCTGGCGTGGCCCCAAAACAAAAAAACAAAACAAAAACTAAAAGAATAAAAACAAAAAATATAAGAACAAGAGGAAGAAATATTTCCTAATGACATCAAGGCTCCAGCTTTAAAAGAGGTACCTGGGAGGCTGGAGTGATAGTTACAGTGGGGATGGCGCTTGCCTTACACACAGCCAACCCAGGTTCAATTCCTGGCACCCCATCCAGTCCCCTATGCACTACCAGGAGCAATTTCTCAGAGCAGAGTAAGGAATAAACCCCAAGCATTGCCAGGTGTGTCTCAAAAACAAAAACAAAAAAAGGGGTAGCTGGTCCAGGAACAAAAAAGGGATAACTGGCCCTAGAGGTCAGGAAATGTTCTCATCCCTCATCATGAACTGACAGCATTCCCACCTGGCTAACTTTCAAGAAAGCCTCTGAGTCTCACCAATCATACCCAGATACTCCCACCCCGTGCCCAGCTTTCCCATCACATCTGGAAAAAGGCCTGCCAGCTCTCAGCTAATCACTTACCTTTGTTCCTCGTTGGTAAATCTGAAGCTCCTCCACGGTAAAAGACAGCCAGAGTGGTGATGGCTGTCGTAGAATCAGGCGCAGCTCCAGGATTCTCGTCATGTCACAGAGCATCTGACAAATACACGCAAGGAGCCAGTAAGGCCCCAGCTCAATGCCAGGAGCCTCCCGATAAGCAACAGACCCAGACCAAGCTACTGACTCTCCAGGACCACAACAGTTTTCCCTCCAAGGCATTTGCCAAAGAGCCAGAGCCTGACCTAGCCCTCACCCTCCCCTCCTGAGATCCCAGCCAGGTTTCTAGACCTCTTGGGAGCCCTCATCTGTCTGCCCTGGCCGGGCTGAATCTCAGCTGACCTGGTGCTTGTACAGCGATACATACTCCTGGGCTCCCTCCTCACTGTGTGGATCAGGCATCAGGCAATAGTCTTTCAAGCAGGTCACCCACTTAGGCGGCGTGTGCGGTGAGATATGCTGGCGAACTCGGATGCTCAGAAAGGCTGTGTAGTAATTCTTAAACATGATTTCCTGCAACTGGAATACATACAACCCACCACAACAAATAATATTCATGCCCAAGCAACTACTGGAATCCAAAGAGGATTGTTTTGGTTTTGGTTTAGTTTGGTTTTAGTCTTGGGCTACAATCAGTGGTGTTCAGGACTTTCAGGGCTTACTCCTGGCTTTGAACTCAGGGATTACTAGTGGAGTGGGACTATATATGGTGCCGGGAATCAAACCCAGGTCATTTGACAAGTGCTCTGCCCCCAGAACTATCTCTCCAGCCCAGAGGAATTAACTTTCTGAGAAAAGGACAGTCTAAATGAATAGATCATGCAAACAAATCATGACTGTGGGTTTTGTCACCTGTCCAAGATGCAGCCAGAGGTCAGAGTCCTAACTGGAGGAGGCAGAAAATGAACACATGAGGCTGAGGAGGAAGAATTCATCAAGTGTCCCAGGAAAGGTTGAGTACATTAAAATACCACAAAGGTGCAACAAACTGCAAAAGCACCTAGAACAGCCAGACCCTGGCTATAGCAATTCTCATGACGGGACTTATCAGAACCACTCAAGAAAAAAAATACATATTTTTTAAAAGATATTGGTATGTCTAATTCTACTAAACCTCAATTTAGTGCAATTTGGAGGGAGAGCCACACTCTACAAGTGTCCACAAGACAAACTGATGGGGCCAAGAATGAAGCAGGACACAGAGAGGCCCTGAATGCTAGATCTTTAGTAAATGGACTTTATTCTATGTGTTGCAGTCTTTTGGCGTCCAGTCACTCTGCCACTGGTGTGAAGGGTGGCTGGTGACTAGAGCCACAGGAAGGTCTGATGAGGTTTGGGTGGAACCTGATCTCCAGGAGGGACCACAGGAATGAAGAGAAAGCAGGTTTAGGAATAATTCATTGTCTAAAGGTCCCCAGTCAGTGTCCCCAGGGACAAAATGACTCTTCACTTTCATTTGGTTCCCAACTGTATTTCCTAGCATCTGAACTGTATAGTCTTGACACTTCCCTGCTAGTACTGTCCTCGAAACGGGGGTGAAATGTTGAAGAGAACAGGCCGGGAAGCTGCATTTTAATAAATGTATTAACTGGAAGAACAGATGGTTAACTGACTCACAAGGGCGAGGACAAGGCAGTGAAGCTTTTGGTAAAAGATTAAACGCCTAGGACACACCCGGGTTCCCAGGTCAGCCCCGCCCCGAAGGCCAGGTCGCGCCCACCGGGCTTGCTCACCTCGAAAGGCGCGACGCTGGGGAAGGTGACATCGATGACCAACACGCCAGGCCGGCCTTGGGAAGTCCGCATATCGCCCACCTGCAGAGCCACGGTGCTTTTCACATGGCAGGGCACCGCCACACGGGACATGATGCCAGGAGCAGCGGGCAAGCGCAACCGCCGATCTTGGACTCGCACCACGGTCTTTCCCGGCGTCCCCAGCCTAGGCCCCCAGAACTACAACTCCCGGGAAACATCGCACTGGACCAGCCGAGCCAATTGCCAGGCTCAAGGCGCGCCGGGAGTCGGAAGTGTCTGCGGAAGTGCTCTTTCAGCCAATCACCTCTCGAGCTTGAGAGCCGCAGGGCCCGCCCCCGAAATGACAAGTCTTTATCTAAGTGGTCCTGAGCCTTCTGGGTGAATTGTGGCTTGCTGGGTTACTGCTTATGCGTGGAGGGGGCACTCATCATTAACCGATGTAAAGTCGTGGGTGCCGAAGAAATATTACAGCGGGTAGAGTGCTTGCCTTGCACAAAACAAGAGGATGTAAAGCATATGTGAATGTACTGCCTGGTCTTTGTTTTGGATTTTGAGCCACACCCAGTGATGTTCAGGCTCTGCACTCACTCAGGAGTGTACTCCTGGCGGTGCTCAAGGGAACAACATGGGATGCGGGCGATAAAATCCAGGTTGGCCGCTTGCTAGACAAGGGTCCCACCCACTATTCCATCTCTCCCTTTTATTTTTCTGCGGTGGGGGGTGGATGGAATCCAGGGTGTCATACAATTTAAGTATTTCACCTCAAAACTACATCCCCTGTTCTATTTTGTTGTTTGTTTGTTTGTTTGGGCCACACCCAGCGGTGCTCAGGGCTTACTCTTGGCTCTGTGCTCAGGAATCATTCTCCGTAGGTTCGGGGGACCATATGGTCTGCAGGGGGTTGAACCCAAGGTCGGTGGTGTGTAAGGCAAGCGCCCTCCCCTCCTTACCCGTTTTGGCCCCAGTCCCTGACCTATTCTAGTTACAAAAAAAATTTAAAAAAAAAACCTTTCATGCTCCCCGTGGCGTATTCGATATGCCAAAAACAGTAAAAGTCTCACAATGGAGACGTTACTGGTGCCCGCTCGAGCAAATCAATGAACAATGGGAGGACAGTGCTACAGTGCTATGTATTCAAAGGGGCTGAGAATTTTTTTTTTTGTCACACCCGGCGATGCACAGGGGTCACTCCTGGCTCTGCACTCAGGAGTTACTCCTGGTGATGCTCAGGGGACCATATGGGATGTTGGGAATCAAACGCGGGTCAGCCTCGTGCAAGGCAAATGCCCTACCCGCTGTGCTGGGGGCTGAGAAATTAAACCAATAATTTACAGAAAGCCAAATAGTCGGTGGAAAAATTAAAATTTTCAAACATGATTATTATTCATTAGAGAATAAGAACCCCCCCAGACACACACACCCACTATAAATTCAAATATCTCTACACACCTATGCATAATAGGCTAAAATTAAGGATTAGCAGGGCAAGTCAGATGCTTTGCACATGGAAAACTAGGTTCTGGATTCTGGCACTCCCATGATCCCCTAGCCAACAGCACTGCTGGGTGTGGCTCAACATTTTTTTTTAATTTGACAAATTAGAGCATAAAGACTAGCAAAGGTGTGGGCCAGAGGGATAAAAACGGTACTTGTCTTGTATGAGGCCCACCAGGGTTCGGGGAAACTTATGTGGTCACCTGATCACCACCAGGAATGATCCCTAAGCAATGCAGGGTGTGCCCCTCCAAAAAAATATTATTGGCAAAGGTGTAGGATTATATTATTTCAGTCCACTTTGATAAAGTTTGGCATTTCTTTAAAAAATAGATTTACAAATTTGCTGCTACATGGAGGGATAGAGGCTGACAAAGAATAATCTCTCTCATATGCAGAATATAAAGAAACATGATGGGGAAATCAAAGGTAACCTGCCCACACGGCAGAGTCTGGCAAACTCCCCGTGGTGTACCCAATATGCCAAATACCAGTAACAATGATGGGCCTCATTCTCCTAACCCTGAAAGAGCCTTGAGTATGGCACTTTTTAAAATCTCATGGCTAGGGTGAAGGAGACCTTACTGGTGCCTGATCGAGGCAATCGAAGAACAATAGTATGATCGTGATCATGAACGTGATTGTGAAATAATGAATACCCAAAGACAATGGAAACAATAAGAGAACTGGTATTTAGTAGGAAACTTGCCCCTTAAAGGGGTTGAGGAATAGGACAGGGAGGGGTCAATGTCTATAGTGGAGGGAAGCATTGACAGGGAAGAGGAAGTAATGATGAAAAGTGGTGAAGTGTTATGTTGGAAATCCTATCAACAACAGTTCCATAAACCACAGCATATACAAAAGAAAAAAGGGGAGGAGGGAGGTGGATACTGTGAAGGGATCACTGTTGAAACATTGTATGTCTGAAATCCAATCATGAATAACTTTAATTTCACTGTGACTAAAACAAACAAAACCTAAGATTCACAGGGAGGGGGTGAGATGCCTTTCTTTTTTTTTTTTTTTTTTGGGGGGGGGAGCATCCAGCAGTGCTCAGGGTGTACTCCTGCCTCTGTGTTCAGGGATCACTCCTAGTGGTTCCGGGACCATGTGAGGTGCTGGTGCCAACTGAGGTTGGCTGCCTGTGAGGCAAATGTCCTACCCATTGTACTATTGCTCTGACCCCAAGATGAAGAAATTTTTGAATGCCCTGAGTCAGCTGAGTAGGTTTGGAATCATCAGCACAAAAGGGCCACCCAGCTCCGCCAGAGGTCACTCCTGAGTACAGAACGAGGAGTAGCCCCTTAGCACTGCTAGCACTGCTAAGGGTCCAAACTTTCCCCCTGTACCCACCTCAGTAAACTAGATTTATGGTGACTGGAGAAATAGTATAGGTGTTAAGGCATTTGCTTTTTTTTTTTTTCTTTCCTGGTCATACTGGTGACGCTTAGGGGTTACTCTTGGCTCTGCACTCAGGAATTACTCCAGGCAGTGCTCAGGGGACCATATGGAATGTCAGGGATAGAAGCCCGGGTCTACCGCATACAAGACAAATACCCTACCTGCTATACTATCGCTCCAGCCCCAAGGCATTTTCATTGCATGCAGTGAACCAGGTTGATTTCCTAGAACAACAGATGTTTCCTTGCCTATCTCCAAGTGTGACCCCTGAGCACAAAGCCAGGAGTAATCCCTGAGTACCACTGGGTGTGATTCAAAAACAAACAAAAAATTAAATTAAAATGAAAACTCGATTATGCCTAACCATTACCATTACACTCCTAAGTGTAACTCCAGAAGAAAATAACTGCTGAGTGTGGCCCTATAAAAAAATAAATAAACAAGATAAATGTTGTCAGCCTAAAGGAAAATACAGTTATTGTTCAACAGGTAGAGTTTCTTCTTAGTTTCTTCTAATAAAAATATCAGTGGTAATATTTACACAACTTTATGCCACTGAATTATACACTTAAAATAAGTAAAATTTTTACTCTCTGACCCCACTATTATGTGTACTTTAAAATAGTTTCTCCTTGAGGCTGGAGTGATAGCACAGCGGGTAGGGTGTTTGCCTTGTATGTGGCCCGACCTGGGTTCGATTCCCAGCATCCCATATGGTCCCCCAAGCACGGCCAGGAGTAATTCCTGAGTGCATGAACCAGGAGCAACCCCTATGCATCGCTGGGTGTGACCCAAAAAGCAAACAAATAAATAAAATATTTTTTAAAAAATTGGTTTCTTCTCCTCCTTCTCCTCCTTCTCCTTCTTCTTCTCCCAAGTCATTCATCTGTAAGGCAAGCATCTTACACACTGTACTATTTCTTCAACCCCAGGACCCTGGGTTTGATCCTCAACACTACTGAACACAGGAGGGAATAACATTATTGAGTGTGGCCCCCAAAACCTAAAGGATAAGTAAAGCATAAAACTTCTAGAAAAAAAATTTTGTCAGGTTTGCTCTTAGCCACATCCCCAGAACCTATAACAAAGCCTTTGACAAAGTAGATGTTCAAATAGGTGGTTGTTGGATTTGTGAATTAATTCAGAATGGCACCTTTAGCAACATAGACTAGTTAGTAATCCTTTGAGAATTTTCCCCAGCAGGCAAGCTCCCAACATTGTCAGGATGGTACTGCCACCTGCTGGGCAATATGAGTCAGGAGCCCAAGAGAAGCAGGTTCCCCTAGCCAGAGGGGTAGAAAGGTTTGGAGGTAAGTTCTGTGTGCTTGTAATGATACTTTTTTCTTTCCTTTTTCTTTTTCCTTTGCTTTTTTTTTGGGGGGGGGGAGAAAAGTACCCTCAGCAGGGCTCAGGGGTTCTTCGGCACTCAGGAATCATTGCCTGGAATGATACTCTTAACCAGAGCTTCAACATTCCTGAGGAATTGCCCAAGACCTTATCTCTTACTGGAATCAAGGCAACTATGATACAAAGAATGCAATCTATGAGGGCTGAAGAGATAGTAAAGTGGGTAGGGTGATTACCTTGCACCCCATCAACCTGGGTTCCATCCCCAATATTCCATATGGTTCCTGACCACCAGCAGGAGTGATGTCTGAGCACAGAACCAGGAGTAACATTTGAGCACCTCCAGGTGTGGCCCCCAAACCAAAAAAAAAAAAACACAAAAAACACTAGAGAATCCAATTAAAAAATAGAGACTTACCCACACTGGCCTCCCTTTCATCTGGACATACCTGAACTCTGAGCTGGCCGCTGAAAGCATCTCCTACAACCCTTTCTTTCCTATGGAGGGTGTTGGTTCTGGGTTATTTGAGAACCTGATGAAAGTACTCAAAGATAGTGTTGTGCCCCCTGCCCTCCAACATTGTTTATGATGTTTGAGAATCCAGAAACTCTTTTTCTTCTTCTTCTTTTTTTTTTCTTTCAACATCCCATGGTGCTCAGGGCCTATTTCCTGGCTCTGTGCTCAGGAGTAAGGCCTGCTGGTCAGGGATCCAATCAATGGGATGCAAGGCTAGACCCTTAACTCCTGCACTATCTCTCCAGGCCCCACAGGCCCTTTAAGATACTTGCTGTCCTCTCTGTAAGAACTCAGAGTATGGGAGACAGAGAAGTAGTACAGGAGGTAATATGTTCACCTTACACGCAGCATGACCTGGCGGTTTGATCAAGGACACTGAAAATGGCTTCCTAAGCACTGCCAGTGGTCATGCC